AGCTATAAATGTTCTAAAAATTATATTTAACTGTTTTGTTTAATAATTTAGGTTATCAATAATTAAATATAAAAGTATTGTAGCAAAATAAAATGTGGTTCCAAATTTAGCCTTAGGTTGAAATTTTCAATAATTCACATATATGCTGATCATCTGCTAATTTGACTTTGAAGCTTCGGGCCAAGCCACAGAACTTCGGGCCAAACTTGAAACTTTCACAGTATGCTATTTAGGTATTCAAGAATTAGTGGCTAAAATAAACCTGAATAATTTTTGATAACCCGAAAGTTATCATTAAATAAATGTTTACAATTATTGTAAAATTAATATATGTCTGATATTTGACAAAATCTTTATGAATTATTTAAGAACTAATTTATTAACAATAAATAAAATAAAGTAAATAAAATCGAAATTTTATACATTATTATGTAGAATTTGTGAAAAAATTAATTCAACGTATTTTTTTATGTGATAATATTGGACAAGTGATCAGCAAAATGATCGGCAATATCATGATAATATGGGGATGTCCGCCCTGTTTCCACAAGGAGATTATAATTTTAGTGTAACAAAAACAAATATAAATTCCAAGGATAATATGACTTTCCCAAATAACAATCTTAATTTTACGAATTTTGAAAATGGTTAAGTATTACAATTCATCTTAATAATAATAATTTGACTCTTTTAGCATTTTTCTTATAATGAAAAATTGCCACATTAAGTAATTTAATGGAATTAAAGGTTATTAATATGGGAAAATTATCGCAATTTGAAATTTTGATATAATTATTTATTTTATTATCTAATATTATTAAATCAAGCACATTATTGTATTTATTTATATTATTAATAAAGTATTATTTTCATAATTTGATAAAAATAGAAACTGTGATATCAATCGCCTGTTAGTATCCTTCTCATGAAATAAATGCTTCATAATTTTCATAATTTTCGTTTATAAGTGAAACCGTTTATTTATCTCTCCGATTGCTGGTATCTTATATTCTTGAATATTCAGCTGCCCTTTTTTAAGGGTTAGCAATCTGTTCTTGAAATAAAAATAAAATAAAATAAAATGTAAGCATAGAACTATATCAAAGGGTGGGTCCCGTAGGGGTGCACACTTTTTGTCTTTCTAAAGTAAGAAAAAAAAAATGTAAGATATTTAATTCACCACGTGACTTCTAAAAAAAAGAAATGCTTTGTGTTACTGCATAGTGCATACTGCATACGTATAGAATGTAATTTTTACAGTCGTTTAGCATTTCGAACTTTTCCCTAGTAATAAATAAAAAGTAGTTTTACTTCGAATATTCACATGTCGAAACTAGAGAAATACTGTTTGAAACATACTTTGACGGTATAGACAAAGTACTTTTAAATGATTTAAAATTTGTTATTTATTAAAACAATTCAAACGCATATACTGTTACAATTACATTTGCAAAAGAAAGGATCCGGCAAAAGCTTCTTACTTTGGCGTGAGTTTTAATCACCATGACCCACAAAATAACATTGTTTTCGCTGTTGTTGGTGGACGTAATGTAAGTATATTGGTTTAATGTATTAAACGCGCCATTTTTATCACCCTATAATAATTACGTTATTAACTTTTTATTATATAATTTTTTATTTCTTAGATTATAATTGCCCGTTTTGACGATAACAAAGTGGCACTTAGCATACTCCAAACTTATGTGGACGAAAATGTAAGTTGTTTAAATCGAATTTACATGTGTATTTTTTTTTTTATGGTTTTGATATATTAATTATTAGTTTTTTTTTTGTTTATATCGTAGGAAGGAGAAAATTATTATTGTTGCGCTTGGTCTATTGATCCGAACGTGGGAGCGCCATTACTTGCTGTTGCTGGAGCTACAGGAATTATTAAAATTCTAAACACTAGTGTAGGATCGGCTATAAAGGTATAATAACAAAATTATATTGCAAATTGATTTAGTTGTTTTATGACTAAATATTTCATATTCATAGGCTCTTACAGGGCACGGTGGTGTAAGTTTGATATAATTCAATTTATATGATTAACTTTATAATGAATTTTTATAATTAAATTTAAATTTAAATTTTTTTTAATACAGGAAGTTAATGAAATTAAATTTCATCCAAGAGATCCTTCACTACTTTTCTCCGCAAGTAAAGATTTTTCTATACGCTTATGGAATTTAAAGACTATGCAACCTGTTGTGGTCTTTGGTGGAGATCGTGGCCATCGTGAACCAGTTTTAAGCATTGTAATGTTCCCAAATATGTCATTGAGAAATTCTTCTTTATTGATGAATGCTTATGAAAGTTTAATTCTTTAGGATGTGCATTTAACTGGTGATTTCTTGGTTTCTTCTGGAATGGATAACGCAGTGAAAATATGGACGTTATGTACTCCAATAATTAAAAATACAATAGAATCATCATATAATTCAAGATCGTCGCCATCTCACCACTGCCAGAAAAAAAAAAATTGTTGTTCATCGCATGGTACAACACCTTTTCCAGTAATTGTGCATTATCCAATATTTTCAACAGCACAATTGCACAATAACTTTGTTGACTGTGTAAGATGGTATGGTGATTTATTAATGTCGAGATGTGCTGCTGATGCGAAGATTGTATTGTGGAAGCCTGACGTAGAATTAATGGCGTTCGATAAGTCTACCGTCACATCGGTAGTCGTAGGTGGACCAGCTGTCCCTAGTAAAGTAAGAACATGTATAAATTTCATCCGATAAATTAAAATTGTTTTTTTGGTTTTTTTTTATTTTCTAATATTCATGTGTTTAACTTTCTAGATACAATCAAATTTTGATATAATTTGTGAAATGGAATTTGAACATTGTGATATTTGGTTTCTTCGCTTTGGAATTTCATATGACTATCGAATGCTTGCGACAGGGAATCAAGCAGGGCAAATTTATATATGGGATTTTCAGGATATTCCACATTATATTGATTATTATATCGAAAAGAAAAAAGCAGAGTATTCGGGAACGAAAAAGGAAAAAGCTACAAAAAAGAAAGGCAGTACTTCCGTTGCTAATAAAAAGACTAGTGATAAAACTGATACATTAGTAAGTGGAAGTAGTTCTCATGTAAGTGAAAGTGCAGATATTAAGAAACCTATTATCCTTGAATCATTATCATGTGAGAGCATAATTCGACAAGTTGATTTTTCAAAAGATAGACAATGGATTGTAGCAGTTTGTGATGACGCTTCGATTTGGTGTTGGAAAGATGTTGGAAATAAAGCGATTGGAAATGATGCGATTGATGGCAATAGCATAAATCATTAATAAGACATTTAATTGAAATTATTAACCAAGCGCGAAGTAAAGCTTGGACTCACAAATCAGTTTGTATAGTATATTTTTGTATTAGTTATTTTATCTCATTAGTACTTATGCGCATAGAATTTAACTAATTTATAAATTTATTTATCAATAATGGACAAAAAAATACGTACAAAAAAAAAAAATCAAAGAAAAAATAAGGGTGGTAGTTTTTTGGTGATCGATTCCCGCAAACAATGGTGGTTGTATAATTTTTATTTAATAAGTTAAATACATATGTAATAATAGGGTTAGGACTTAGGATTTTTACTACGCCAACAAATTATATTACATGATTGTGTTATTGTATTATTTATCAAATAATTTAAGTAAAGACTTAAAAAAGTAAAACAAAAGAAGCTGGTAAGAATTTTACAAATGGGTTGATTAAATTTATTTTATCATGAAGTGTCGAAAGATGCATGCATGCATGTTTCAGTATTTCCAAACGCCAATTTCTCCAGTCATATTCAAATAATCTATAGTATTCAATATTAAATAGTTATTGGATTGGGGGGATAGAGATATCGGTCGAAGACCGATATCCCCTATCCAAAAATTGAGTTATAGTTCGGTCATTAGGAATACTGCGGTGACCAATAGGAATTAATGCTACTAATACTGATTTCAATATTGGATGTCTCATAAAAATATCGGTCAGTTAAAATCCCGCATATTCCTAATCGACTGAACAATAGCAATATTTAATTAAGAATTGACATTGGCAGATCTTAAAGTCTAGTGGCTGTTTTTCGATTCATAAATACGATTTTATAAAGCAATGTTATATGCAACTCTTTTAGATAATATATTTATATTAATTGATGATACAGTAAAACTTAGGCTACTTTCTTTTTTATGTTTCAGAATTTCTTATTAATAATCTCTCAATTTTTTGCGAATCGTATGGAGGAAAAAAATAATTCTGGTTTAAAGAGAAATAAATAGAGAAATTTTTTAAACCGATATTAAATAAATATCTATAGATTTCATTCGGCTGATTACTTAATTCAGAATATAAATTTCAAACTTATATTTAAAATACAACGTGTGAAACAATATAGAATAAATAGCAACATTATAAATGGTAAATTACGCGAAAATCATTATAACCGCAGTTAATAATTTTCAATGACATTAATCATGTGAAAACAGATCGCCAGCGAACAAAAGAATAAAATTGCTATTAATGATATAATTTGGGTTGGAGAGTTTTTTTATTGTTATCTATTTTTAGATAATGATTGGATTGATATCTAAAGAAATTATGCAGCTTAGGATCCGCGAAAAAATGTCATTATTTCTACCTTTGGCACTACAATATCATCGGTCATAAACGGCCTTATTTGTTTCTTCTTAGCTTATCGTTAAAAACAAGTTTCAAAAATTAATATGTATTCTTTTGGAGGCTTACTACCGAAAGCCGGCGTTGTCCTACGAAAAAAAAAAGATGATTTTTTTTTAGATAAAATGAACTCCGAATTCCTTAATTTTTCCACAAGCTCTTGAGAGCTTCCTCTGGTAAGAAAAACTAAAAAACATATGTACCATAAATTTATATTTCTAATATTCGACTAACGTACTGAACTTTTTTTTAATTATAATTACAGGTTCGACGGTTGAGCTGGAGTACACATTGTTATAGAAGGAGATGGTTTTTATTCTTTCGTGGATGCAACTAACACGTAAGTACGTTTTTTCTGCTTCTCATCAACAATGTGATAGTATAATTCATGAATATTTATTATTCAAGTCTATTCTTTTTCTTATAGTCGTAATGAATCTCTTGGTATTGCGCCTTGAATCGATTTTTTATGGGTCATAATAGGGAGGGAAACTATGTGAATACGTAGAAAGGTTCGTGAAAATTAAATTAGTGGCTCAGCAAATTAAAAGTCTTATTCACATGATTATTTCTATCTTATTAGATTTCCTGAACCCAATAATTTCTATAGAGCCAATGAGCTGAGCAAGTGAGATCAGTTATATTTAACTGTTAAAGGTAATGTTAGGAATCTTATAATCAGTTACTTTGCTCAATTGCTCCTAAACAAATTATTAAATCATTGATTGAATTTTCACTGATTAGGTAGCACCAAGCTCTATTAACTAAAAGACAACTAAGGGACATGAATGAAGGATCATCCTGCAATAAATCAGGCATCTGAAAGAATGATGTTTGATGGTATAATATTTTTTGCAACAAAAGCTTTTTTGGTTAATAATCAAAGAGAGCGCTACTGGAAGTAATGAAACAATTCTGCTTAATTGTAGAATTAAAAAAAAAGGAAATATCTCGGTATTTTTTAAAAAAAGTTTTTTTTATTTATGTATTTAATGTATTTAAAATTTAAGATTTCTATGTTTAAAATTTATATGATTAAGATTTTTTTTTAAATTACCATGTAAATAAAAATTTTTTATGACAAATTTAATTCCGGATAGCATTAAAATATTGATACTAATGCAATTGGGATAAAATTATAATTCGTATATCTCGATATAAACTTGTATAATCAATATAATAAACGTAAAGTATTCTTGTCCTCTACTTATCATACTATGTACATGCCCCATTTCGAGAATTAATGAAAAATTTTGCTGAAGTTATAAAATTTTTTGAATTTTTTTTTTGAATTTTGCGCCATCCGGTTAATACCATATGAGATACTTTTTCCCATTTATGTTACGTACTTGTTTTGCGAATTTAATTACCGTATTTTTGCGGTATATAAGCACCCCATTTTTTGCACTTAATGCCGGCCAAGTTCCTCATAATTCTGGCCAAAATCGCCATAATTCTGGCCAGGGTGCTTATTTTTGGGGTGTTTATTACTAAGGCAATACTTTATTTTAAAATTTTTTCGTGAATAGAAACATAATATGGTGAAATGGTGAATAGAAATGGTTTTTCGTATTAATTGATTTTCATAAAAAATTTTAATATTCTCTAGATAATGACAACTATCAAGAATTAATTTAATGTTTCTGCACCAGCTTAATAAGATTTGGGCGGAGAATCCAGAGATCTAAATTTATTCCTTTGACATGGAATTCTTTTAAATTTTGCTATATTGGATATCGTTAAAATATGAGTCCACTTCTCGGTAAAGAAGAATGGACTCTAAATAAATAATATAATAAAACAATTTAAAATATTAAAATTAAATATGTTACGGATCACTTTTGAAATCATCTTTTATTGTGATCCGTATTCTGTAGAATCCATATCTTGCATTTGACGATAATAGGACACGAGACTAATCTTTTCTTTCTAATTCCTTTCCTTTCTTAATTCTGTCTTCGGTCTTAACACATTTTGTCCTAACTTAAATAAAAGTAAAAAAAAAAAGAGCTTAAAATGAAATTAAAAAGTGACTATTTAGAATAAAGATTTACGATCACTATACCTGGAAGTGTTGTCACGGGACAATGTCCGAAATGATAACCCCTCAAAATTTTACTATGATAACCTTGTTCGATACTTAGCAAAAATGTTTAGCATCCAATTATGCATAAATATATATAATTTTTGTAGAGTTTTTAGAGTTTTTTAAGTTACAGAAGAGTACGGACAGAGCGCGGACATGTCCGGGACACTATTAATTTCTATTATAATATTCTATCGTATAATAATACTTATAATATTTATTTTGATTTCAACCAATAATCAAATAATAAATCAAAATTAATTATAAACAACATAAATCTTACCAGGAAAAGAAGGATTTACAAAAAGATTAGAATATGTTAATAGGAAATACAAATTTTTTTAATTTTATTTTTCGAATCTTTTAATATTTAGGGTGTAAGCCAACCTGTTTATATAGCATATAAAATGATAAGCCATTTTTTTAATATTTGTGGAAAAGGGGGACTGGGTTCATGTACTGCTTATGCCCGCTGTGTTAGAATCTTTTTTAAGAGAAACCCAATTAAATTGCAGTATATGAGCTCGTCGTGTAAAGGTATATCTCTTAATTCGTTAAATATGGAAGTAGGTTTTACGAAAAAAATAAGTACAAAATAACCAAAAATGAGCATTCAAACTTTTTTAAAAGATGCTGGCATATTTTGGAAGCAAAAAAAAACCATAGATAGATAGCAGTACATTACTCGTCAGCCGTATAAGCTTCATACTTGTGATCTCATTTTTTAAAAAAAATCACCTGATTTTTCTTGTTAGCGTGCACAATATCTGATTCGTCAATTTTTATGGCTTATTTGTTTATTAACTTTTTTATTTCAAAATAATAATAATAAAAAAAAATAGATAATAACATAAAACAAATAAAATAAATTAATAATTAATTAATTCAATTTCATCAATTACTAAATATTTAGAAACTATATTTGTCATCTTTTTTTTCCTGCTTGTTCATCTATTTTCTTATCTTTTTTTCTATTTAAAAATTCTCAAATCAAATTGTTGCAAATTTTTTGTACCATTTTTTTTTTTCTTAGCCTCATAAATTTTCTACTCTCTTCATATGTTGATTTTTTTTTGCAAGCAAATGTTTTAATTGTAAAATCAAAATTAATGCAGTGGCGCAGCCGATCGACCTATCCGAAAATTTAATACCAAACAGAGTAAAAAATCAAAATTAATGCGGTGGCGCAGCCAATCGACCTACCCGAAAATTTAATAAAAGCGTAAAATGATAAATTTTTTTTTCTAACTTATAATCGCAAGTTACGCGAAGTAACAATTAAAATGGCAATTAAAGAACCTTTCCACCTTTCAAGACTATCGAGGTATATTGAATCATTTAAAAACTTCTTCTCTTTACGATTTGCTGCGCAATGCGCAAATTTTTTAATCCGCGCTTGGATTTATTTTATTTTATTTTTTTCAAGCCATATTGCTTGGTTGCTTGGCAAAGGTAACAACAACGCACAATTTACAATGAATCACGCGGCATTTATTGTTAAAATACTGAATATAAAAATTTGCGGTATATTAAATTTTTTTTTTTCTTACGAAATTAATACGAAATTTTCAAATGTTTATGACGATTTAAGAATATATAAATAAGTACACAAAATGTGGTTTTTTTATTATTTACAAATTTATCTAAAAAACAAAACTTTCTAAATAATAAAAAAAACCAAATTTTTATCTAAAAAATTCTTTGGTAAAATAATAAATATCATGACAAGAAATAATAATAAAAAAAGAAACTTGAACAAAAAATTACGTAAGTTAAAATAATAAAATATTTTATTTTTTATAAACGATAATATTAAAATAAAAATTTTTAATCATAAAAAATTATTTTTTGTTAAAAAAAAAAGTTGAAAATAATAAATCAATTTCTCAAGTAAAACGTGAATATTGGAATATTTTAAATTTTCCAACAATTAATCTTGATATAATTAAAAAATGGGATGTTCAAAAACTCATTTATCATTTAAAAGTTATGTTTAGCGTTGAAGGTTATTGTCGAAAAGATTTATTTAATAAAGAATCCGAATATAAATTTAGATTAAAACAAATTGATGGGAAAACTTTTTTGAAAATGACAAGAAATGATTTCTTTAAAATGGGTATTTCAGGATTATTAATTTTACATTTAGAAGCCGAAATTTTACGTTTACATGGTAAGAAAAATTTACAAAAAAATTTAAAATTGAAATTTTTTATTTACAAACTTTGAGATATTTTTAGGATATTATAAAAATGAGAATTATTATGAACCTGAAGGTAATTAAATTACTTAATCCATAATAATTATAATATAATTGTTTTAAATAATTTTTTTTTTTTTTTAGAATTATTATTAAAATTTAATAGTTTTGAATTAAGAAATAATAATATACCAAAAGTAAGTTAAAAAATTATATAAAAATTATACATAAATTATATATATATACATAAATTCCATATGTAATAATTAATTATATATTATAATTAGGAAAATTTCTTCAACAAAAAGGATTTATTTCAACAACTTATTACAAGAAAATTACTTAAAGTTCCTTCCATATATGAATTAAAAAGATTCCTTTTGACTCCATTACCAATGAGAGTATTTGTTCCATCATTTTGTCTTTTAAATAATCAAGAAAATTCCAATATATATTCATATGTCATACCTCAAGAACAATGTTTTAGAGAATTTGGAAATATTATTCCATCTTCACCTATTTCATTGCCATTTATTAATGCTTTGACATATCCATATAATTCCAATTCAACTTGTCAAGAAAATAATTTAATTTGTTATAATTTAATTATTGATGCATTAATTCAAGGAACTTTAAGTTGTTTACAATCTCAAAAATCACAATGGATTTATATGGCACGTAATTTTATTCAATCAAAGGAAGATCTTTTAAGACCTGATTGGATGTGTTGGATTAATGATCATTTAATAATTCATGGTATTGAATTACCCGAAAATATTGAATGGAATGTTGGTATTCAAAATATTATTGAAAAAACTCATTGGAAAGATATTTATTATTCAAATTTACCTTTTAAATTTGTTTATATATCAAAAGGTCCAATTTTAAGATGGTATGTTTTTGATCCATTAAAATAAAAGATTATATAAATATCTCAAGATTTTGATTTGGATAGGATCTTGGATAGATTAAGAATGATTCGTACTGTTATTAATATTTATAATGTTTTGGATTCAATAAAACGTAATTGGGTACAATTTAAGATAAAAAAATCCACTCATCCTTTATATTTAACAATAAATCGTGATGGTGGAACGACTATAGAATTTATGGGAAATTTGGTAAAAAAATCTTTATCAACACAAAAAATGAAAGAAAATTTTAATTATGATACTATAAGAAAAATTTATTTGGAAACTTCTCATATTAAAAATTTAATTCATTGTATTGATTTAGAAGGTAATCTTAGTTATCCAATTTTAACTAAAGATGGTTCTTGTAAAATTTTTTTACATCCTGTAGGATATTATTATTATCCAAAGAATGAATTGGAAGTTAAATCAATGATAAAAACTATTTTACAAGTTCTTAAAGAAATGCATCAAGTTAATTGGACTCATAGAGATATTTATTGGGGAAATATTTTAAGACAAGATAATGGTGATTGGTTAATAATTGATTTAGAATTAGGAGGTCCTGTTAATGAAATTTTACAATTTTCTCTTTGGAATAGATGGCCTGAACAAGCTGTTATTGGTAAACCATATCTCGCTTGTTATGATATTTATCAAGTTGGAACTCTTATGGATGAATTAAAAGGTACAGATCAATATTTTAATAATTATTCTAAAAGTTTTATTCAATTTAAAAATCTATTACTTGAATCTGCAAAAGATGATAATTTCACCGCGGAAATGGCATTAAGACATGAATGGTTAAGTGAAGTCATCACATGTTCACATGATTAGTGCGATTTCCAATCAAATATAATAAATACGGTACAAAAATTTCATATTTTTATTGCACCATAATCTTTTTCCTATGCCTTCCATACTGATTTATTCATTATGAGTAATTGCCGGCTAAATGCCTAAGTTCTTACAAGAATTTATCTAAAATATCGATAACAAATTTAGAAACAACACTATCGATATTTCCGATGAAAATAATAAAAAGGTATAATTTTTAACGGTCTTTCATACGAGAAAAATACGAGAAAATACAGTAAAGTAATATCACTGATTTTTTTTTATGAATATATTAATATGGATCTAGTGGTAAAATATTAATTTGTTAAAATCTTTGATTGTTTAAACTCTTTATTGATGAAATTATTATCATTTCTAATTCACAAAGAAAAAATCAAGATAAAAATAAAAATGAAGAACCTTTAATTTCTTCCTTGATTGAATATTTCACAATCCAAGTTGGTGTACAATATCCTATATATAACACGAATAAATATTCTATTGAAGAAAATTAAAAAAAAAAATTTTAAAATATAATTCGAAATCATCGAGAAAAGAACGAAATAACTTATGACATACCCCAAAAATTAGTAACTCGCGCTAAAAATTTGAAGAAAAATACAAAAGATCAGATACCAAATTCATTAAGTAATTTGTTATTTTTTTTAAAAAAAAAACAAAAAATTTTAATTCTTATCAAGTAAAAATACTAGGAAAAAATTATTCAATTTTCAGAATTTTTCTTAATAATTAATCTCTAATTCTTTTTCATCGTACGTCTTTCTTCATTTTCATCTTATCCTTATTCTCGTCTACTCGTTTTCTATATTTATATTAGATATAAATTATAGATTAATAAAAATTAATAAAGGACATTTAGTTCAATATACTTATAAATCCTAAAATAAAAGTTCCAGTGTTATTATAAATTTTGCTTGCCGAAGAATAATGCTACAATATATACCGACTAAAAAAGAAAATATATTAATTATTATAATGGTTTCTTTCAATGATATAACAACACCAATAATTTCTTGTGTATACTATGAGTATATGAGTAGTAACCTAATTTATTTTTTATCTAAAAAATTATTTTTTCAAAAAAATTTGAAGCGTTGTCGAGTTTCATAAATGATCTTGTAGCAACTATTCCTAAAGAAAATATGAAAGATCCGAATACTAAATCCATAGTCAACGCGAATAAAGGGAAAAAAATAATTTATATTCAGTACAATAGTTGAGTAGCGTATGACGATACATGTAAATTTAATTCTTACCAAAGTAGTTCCGAATGTTTCAATATTTTGATTTTTTGTAAATCTCAAAATTTTTTCTTCTTTTTTTTTTTATTAAGAAAAAAAAAATAACCGTTAAAATAGATGGGTTCTTTCCATTTGACTTTAGAATTTTATCGTCATTATTTCATCTAGTCCTTCTTTTAACAATTTATCTAACCCCTCATCATCATTATCTTCTTATTCTGAACTGCTTCTACCATCAATTATTAAAAAAAAAGTAAAGTTCCTATATGTTATGTTACAAAAAAAAAAAAGAAAAGAAAAGAAAAAATTAAAAATATTAGTTTTAAATAACAATAGGCACAAATGATAAAAATAGTTAACACATATAATTACAAGGTTTCTTTAATTCGTATTTTCACGACCAATTCTCAACGAAACATTCGTTATCCAGTTGGAATCAAACATCATTATTTTCAGATGTCCAATTGAAATTTTTTCCTTTTCCCTTTCATTTAATCCGAATTTGGTTCAGGCTGTCCGGGTTGTTCGACTTCAATTGATTTGGATAATATTTGTGCTCTGGATCGAGCTTGTAATATTAAGGAAAAAAAAAAAATGTTAGTCGAAACTATTAGAAGTATAAACTTATAATTAGCAATGACTATCTTTTTTTCTTACCGGAGAAATTTAAGAAAGTCCTTAAGAGCTTGCGTTCGTTGTCTTCTCGTAATCTCAAAATACGCTTCGAACGAGATGTCCAATTTCTATTTCATCAGAATTTTGTGCTAAGGTTATTAAGTTAATCTTTACAAAGGAAGTTGTTTTAAATAAAAATAAACGAACCTGTAAACAAATGGTCAAACACCAATGTTGTTATGGTGTTTACTATAAAAAAAAAAAAAAGAAATAAGAAATAAGTGAACTTTAAATGTTAATCCATGATTCGCAAAAAATCTTTTTAAAAAATTTATAAGAAATTATAAAAAAAAGTATACATACCAGCTTTACATTGTAAAGAAGAAGAAAAAAAAGATTATTCATAATTCTCAAAAATTGATGAGAAAAAAAGGATTCATCATCAAAGTTTAAAAGGTACATCACATAACTCCTAGATGTCAGTTAAACGAAACTTAATAATTTTAATATACCTAAAGGTTAACCATAATATATTAATATAATGAGCTCAAAATGGTCCATTAATTAAAAGTGACAATGAAAAAATTACACTTTACCTATAAAACAAATACTTGTTTTCATTCCAGCACAAAAAATCGTAGACAAGGTTCAATTAAAATGATTTCCCATAATTTAACTTCCTTTTATAATAAATTTTGCATATATGTGAGTCTATCTTGAATCTCATAATAGTATATAATAGTCGAATTATTAAAAGTATTTAGATACAGTCAACATGAATTCCGTCTTTTTTCTTACCAGAAGAATTTGAAGCAAAAATTGAAATGAATATAAGACAAATATTTTGTACGACAGGTTCGTCCCAAATTAGAAACTTGTTTTTGGTCGTATTGATGTTTTTAGGATTGGTATGAAATTGCTTAATATGCACTCGGAATTAAGATTAACCAACCACCGAGTCCATGTGATCACACCTTTTTTTAGTTAAAATACATTTAACAATAATCCATTAAGGGAGAGGCTAATCAAAACATATAATTCGTGGGGACTTGGAAAATAATAGACGACAAATAGGATTTACATAGAATAATCAGCAAATATTCACACATCACATACACTTTTAAATAATGTCACTGACAAATTTAAATTATTTTCAATCATATTTTATTTTGGGTAAGCTTAAAGAAAAAGTACAAATCGCGGGTAATTTTAAAGGAATATACGAAAAAAATAATTTTTTTTACGACGAATAAAGGGGAAAGCGAAGAATAAAAATAAAACGAGGAAATAGAATTTTTTTTTCTTAGTAAGGCTCACAAGTGAGCCTAATGACCTTAATTATTTGAGCAGTGATTGACATTTTCTGCTGAATGTCGAATATTTTTTTTTTTTTAGTTCTAAAAATCTGAGTGGACTGCTTTTTTTTTGTCCAAATTAAAAATTCATCAAACATCTTTTAGATGTTCAATTAAAAAAGAAAAACTTTAATGCGGTTTGGTTGATTGGTGAGAAAAAAATCCAGTTTTTTTCAATTGTATTCGGATGGTGATGATATTTGAGGAGAGGAAAGGTGAGAAATAACTTCTACAATGATGATTGTCTAGTATAAATAATAATGTGTTGGAATATTAGAACAGAATTGTGAGCAAGTTAAAAAGAGAAAAGAAAGAAGATAGAAGATAAAGGTTTACAGTTGCATTTCGAAAAAAAAGTCATTCAAGTGCGATTATTTGATACTCTGACCTGAGTCTGTAAACATAAAAATAATAAAAAAAAAATACGTATTAAAATGATTAGAATTCTTAATTAATCACCAATAACATCCTTATACAGTTTCTTACCAGAGGAAACTCACGAATGAAGAGCTTGTAAAAGAATTGAAGAATTAGGTGCATATTATATAGGAGTAAGGTCAGCGCTTTGGTGATACATAAACTAATTTTTGAAAAGGAGGAAAATCATGTTTTATAAAGTATTATTTAGGAAATCCTTGTGAAAAGGAGGCTTATTACACGCTGCATTGTTAAGAAAAGTTCCAATGAAAATTGTAGTAAATTTAAATGAAACTTTACAGGAGCGAAATATTAAAATTCATCTCAAAATCAGCCTCAAAAGCCCTTCAAAAAGCCCGGTATAGCCATTGTATAGCCGCCCCGTTTTCACAAATTTTATTGTTTCTTCGACTTTGCACAGGAGAATATCCTTGGGCAGTGCCAGATGGCGATCAAGACACAATGTGAGACCAAACAATAAGCCATAATAGATAAGGCGGGTTACATAGAAGATTTAATCCAGTAACGAAACCGGTCTAAAATGGATCGGTACTAAACACTCGATTAATTCTGAAGATTCTCAATTAATTATGATCACTGATCGTGTGCAGCTTTTCACACGATCTTTTAATCGGCACTAAACATTAAATTCCACGTGAAACCATAAATGTGTATTGTTAATCCAATAATTTATGTTTATTCAACTCATCAAATATATATATATATTTTTATATACATATACACATATATATAGAAATCTAATAAATCTAATGAAAAAAAAAAAAAAATACATATATATATGTATATATATATAGAAATACTAAGAAAAAACAAAAAATAATAAAATAAAAAAAAAAAATAAACGAAAAAATAAAAGTCTATTTTATCTAGATAAAAAGAAATATTTATAATAGCGAATCGAAAAATAAAAAAAATAATAATTTTTTTGTATAAACAAAAATTGATAAAATCATTCTGTAAATAAATTAACGATGATGAATTATAATTAGAGTATTCGTTTCACATGACACTTTTCGAACACGATTGCCTTTAGAAATGTAAAAAAGAGATTAATAATTAATATTTTTTACGAGTTATAATTCAATTAATTTGTATCAGTATTACTAACCAATTTTTAGAAAAAAATCATAATATTATTTTGAATCTTAAAGTTCATAAAGCTTAATTTAATATCTTAATTTTTTTTTTTTTCATAGAAAATTTTTCATAGTTATTTTTCTCAAGATTAAATCATAGTCGCTTTTATATTTGATATTTGAACCTTACGCAGCATCAAAGACGTATGAAACGCAATAAGGGGAATACATGCGAGTCAACGGATTGTATCACGAAATCATATTAGAGAATTTAAAAATTTTAATTATAAGAACAACGCGTTCATTTCAATATCTTGGCGTAAATAAAATCATATGCATAGAACAATCGGATATACTCTTTAAATCAAAATAGTTAGTTCAATAGATTCAATAAAATATATGATATTATGACTAGGCGTATACAATGATTCAATTGAATAAAGATAAAACAAATAATGCGACACGGAGTAAAGAATTAGAAGCTTCATTGTTGTTAAAAGATTTAATCATATTTAGAAATATTTGCGTATAGATAAGGGATGACCAATTGAATGAAATAAAGCAAAATAGAAATAATTTGCGATTTATTAGATATTTAAATTTATTTTTTAAAAAAAAAAAAAATTTCTAGTGGATGGAAGTATACATCGGAATTCCTTTCAAAACTTCCGTAATTATATTGTCCGAATATATACTTATTGTGTACCACGGAATACAACAAAAAGACTTTTTTTAGTTCTTACTTACTAAACTATTTTGCATTGAGATTCTTTGCAAATCATAATAAAATTTTTCCGATTTGAGTACCAAATTTCTCACTTGATATTTATTTACTGTATCATGAGGGCGTTCTGCCGTTCTGTGCATCAAAATGTTAAAAAAAAGATCTATTGATATATCTTTTTGAAAATATGTCAATCAGCGATCCTATATCATATTTGGTTTATAAACAATTTCTTGATTATACACTTTAACAAAGGACATGAATAAGTCATTAATGCTTTGAAACATCATTATGCATATGATGCAAGTTTTAAACATATGACATGATTAAAATCGAGAAATCCAGTAGGAGTAGGGTTCAAACAGTTCAAACAGTTTATTTTGCATAAATAAAAAACAACAATGTAAATTATATATTATGTATAATTTCGCATTCATCGAAAATTACATTATTAGTGTTACGTGAAACAAATCATATGTTCTTTCCATAATTAAAATTTTGACATTACGATATTTTAAGTGTTACATTTTTAAGAACGATCGGAACTTCTTTTAATCTATATTTATAATTGGTTTATTTTATTTAATTTTTTATATTTTAATTTTTTTACTTATAAATTTTATATTTATTCTGGATAAGAATAGAACGTTCAGATAAATAGGACGTTAGTCTTCCTATAAAAAATTTTCTAATCAAACATTATTCTTAGAAAACGAATGATAGTGGAACCACCTGGATGATCGACAAAAATTAGGCTAAGACATGGGCTTTTTCCCGATGTAAAATTCATGGCTTTTAATAAACTTTATGGCTTTTTATTTAATAAGATTCGTGGCTTTTTTTAATATAACCTTTATTTAATAAAATTCCATGGCTTTGTTTTAATAAAATATTAATAGATTTTTTATTTAATATAATTTGTGGCTTTTTTTTAAATAAATAAACTTTATAACCTTTTATTAGTAACAAAATATATTAAATATAATATTTTTTGGGTACTGCTAAACATCGCCTGGGCGATGATCGCCTTTACTAGAATTAGGATGGCATTTTGGGCGGAGTTACATTCATATTCTCAATTCTGCCCCAAGTTCCATCCTAATTCTGGTAAAAGTAATGATCATCCAGGCGATGTTTAGTAGTTTTCATCACAATTTTACTTTGAAATTAAACTTTAATATTTTTTAAACTTGTAAGTTGTAACAGTTATATATAAATAATTCCTAAAAAAAAATGTTATTATTAGTTACAAAATTAAAAATATTAAATATAAAGAAAAAAAATAATTTCTTATTTAAATTGTAAATAAGATTTTATAATATTAAAAATATTTTTTAAAAAAAGTTATTTGATTTTTTTGAAAAATTTTTAATTTTATTAATTTTATAAATTTATTAAATTTTAATTAAATATATATTTTTATATAATCTTATATTTAAAATTATTAATGTTTGATCATTATCATATTTAGAGTATTCTGTATAAATAATATATATATTATCTATTATGTGCAATTTTAATATATTTTTTTTTTAGCAATATATTTCTTTATTAGCACTATAATATAAATTATATATATTAAATAAATAAAATATATAGATTTATAGAATTTTTTTTAAAATTAATTTATATTACAACATAAATCTGATATATTAAAAAAAAATCAAATTATAAATTTTTATAGTATATAAAATTTATATATAAGTACATTTTTTTAAAAAAATTTTCTATCACCGGAGGGTGATAATCACCAATAACTGAAATTATGATAATTAACAGCATTAAAAAATATGCCAGTAAAAATTGATAATTCCAGTAAATAGTAATAATCATTGAAGTAAAAAACTTTTTTAATATATATAATTTTAAAAATTTTTAAAATATGTATTATTGTATACAAAAAAATTTTTAAGTTATATATAATTTTTTTTTTAAATTTTTTAAATGTATACAAAAAAATTTTTCATATATATATAAGGTAATATAATATTAAAAAATTGGTTCTCGTTTATAGATTTAAAATTTTGAAATTAATAATCAGTATTTTATTTAAAAATTTTATAGCAAAAATGATAATCTCAGATTTTAAAATTTTTGTTTTTTCTTTAAATAACCTGCTAATTGTTAATATTAAAATTTTTCCTGTAAATTTTCTTAAAACTAAGTTAGTAATTATAAGAATCAATTTTTTTATTAATACATCATAAAATTTTTTTTTAATTTAAAAATAAAATAAAAAATTATAAAATATAACTAATTAAAGAATAAAAACCAATAAAAAGAAACTTTATATAAAATTAATATAAATTTAGTTTAAATATTTATTTTTAATATTTTATATATTATTATATATATTTGAAATTAAATACTTTTTTTTTAACTGTAATATTTAGGATCCTACTTACTTATAAGATAGGTCACCTTTAGGCTTAAAGTAAAAATCATATATAAAATTCTTTGCAGATCCTACTATAAAAGGAAATTTTATATTATATTATTAAATTTTTTTCCTTTTTAGCTAATTAACCAATAGAATTTAAGAAAAAAATAAGGTAAAAATCATTAGTAAAAAGCTAATTCTATGGTAACTTTTATTATAAGTAAGCGAGATCCTGTAATATTAGCCAAAAATAATATAATATAAGCCAAAATTTTCATAATTTTAACTAGAGTGCTTATTTTTAAAGATATTTAATTTGGATGTATATAATACTTAACTAATTAATTTAAAATCCATTTAAATATATTACAATTAATTTATGTTATTATTAAAGATTCAATTCTTAAAAGTTTTTACTTAAATTAAAATTTACTATTTTACAAAAAATAATATTAATATATTATTTATCATATGGGCCGATTTGGCTCATACCACTAAATAAATTTTGGTGACAATATGAATTTTTGATCGACATGAGATCAAAATAAACATCAAATTTGTGACAAATTTGAATAATGCATAATGACGTTAATGCCGATTTCATATTTAAGCCAATTGTTAAAGGTTACGCACCAGCTACGCATGCTTTCGAAACTGGATTTTGCAACTTCGAAACCTGTTAGGAATTGTCTTGGAATTGGTTTTAAGGGTTTGGGCTTAGTGAGTATTATATTTAGAAATGTTCAATATCGAAACTGTTTAGTTTTAAATTACAAACAAAATGGTAGAAATAGCACCAGAAAACGAAAGTAATATGCTTTCTAGTATATATTTTTTAGCAAAAATAAAAATACTAAAAATTTTTTTTTTTAATTATTAGACTCTTTTTCTAGTCGCGTTTTTATACATGACTACCCAAACAATTCAAGAATTGAAGCGCGTTATATATCAAATGGTCGATTATACATTTCATATTACAATATTATTGCAGTGGGGAATTATCCTTCCATACAAAGACTGACTAAAAAATACCAAAATAGTACTTTTCAATATCCGATACCAAATGATTACATTGTTGAAACAGAGTTGTTCGAATGGAGTCTTAAGTGTGAAACCAAATATATCACAGATTCAAAAGTATGCTATACTATAAATTGGAAGGAAGGACGTGTAGATTGGAATATTAGTAGCACAAAATCCTCTACGGCAGTTACTAATTTGTTTTTACAGGTATGTAATTCATATTTACATTAAAAGAAATATAATGATTTTTATTTTATACACAAATTAATTTTATATTATTTTATTAGAAAATCAATCAGAATCGATCAACTAAACTTTCTGGTCCTTGTTTATTTGGTTTTGATATTGAACCATTATATAATTTTCGTTTACAAATTGGTTTACAACCTGTAATAAAGGACAATAATAGGCGTAAAAGGCCACTTGAAAAGATTTCTTCACGATCACAACAAAACAAAAGACTGAATAGCTTCGGAAGAGATGTGCAGAAAGCAATTGATGAACTAATTATCAAACATAAATTGACAAACTTATCTGGAGAACCAATTGTCCATTTATGTTATATTGAACTTGATTATAAAGAAGACCAGCAGGCTTATATTAAATTCAAAAATCCAAATAATTCTTCTGCAATTCAAACAAGAGTTGATGCTATTGTACGTATTTGTGATGAAGCAGTCTTAGGTCGTGATGGATATAGAAATTTAGCTGCAGTTGTTCCAACTCTTTTTCGTGAATATTTGATTGCTAATCGTCAAAATGAAATGAACGAACTTATGAATATGCAAATTCATATAGGAATTTTTAATATAGATAACGAAATTAATAATCAATCTAATATTGATAATAATATTAATAATAATGTTAATGATATTTTAGTAGATGATCATGAAATAGAAAATGGTGCATTTCGTTCTATTTTAGATATACTTAAAATATTAATACCCATTTGGAAAGCAGGACAAAATCCTGTAATATTTCCAGGAGATACTCTTTATATCAAAATAGGTGGTGATGGCAGAAATGTGGGAAGACGTCAGAATCATGTAATGATCACATTCTGTTTATTAAACGAAAAAAAAGAGGTTTTAAAACCTGATCATCAATATTGGTAAAATTTAACTATTCTTACTATTGATTTTACTATAAATTTTTTAACTAATTTAGTTTCTTATATAATTACAGTATTTGCCTTTATATTGGTCATGAAAATTATAAAGATTTAGCAAAAGTTGACCAATTATTTCAAGATCAATTATTTGATTTGAAAAATAGTGGAATTATCGATCAGGATGGTGTTAATTGGCCAGTTGAGCTCTTTTTCTGTGGAGATTGGAAATTTATGTACATAATTATGGGTACAAATGCGCAAAACTCAAAGTATTTTTATTTGTATTGCAATTGTAAAGCATCATTGCGATGGGATATGAATAAAATATGGAATAATACAGAAAATACAAGATGTAAGTTTACTTGATATATTAATTTATTTTTATTAATTAAATTACAATACTTTAAACTTAATTTACTACACTTAATATTTAGGTGAAAGGAAATCTCCTTTATTTCCTGCAATTAATCAGAAAAATTATATACCAGATGAATTACATCTTTTTTTAAGAATTTCAGATGTCTTAATGGAGTGCTTATTTGCTGATCTAATTAAAAAAAAGGAATTTCAAAAGCAAATTAAGCCAGCAGTTGAATTAGCATTTAAAAATATTAAAGTTCATTTTAAATTTTTTCAATCTGGAAAAAATTGGAATTGGACTTCTCTAATGGGACCAGATAAAAAAAAAACGTTAAAAGAGTTTTCAGTATCACAATTTATTCCAGATATTCGTGGAGAAGATATAGAAAAATTATGGCGAGAGTTTTATCGATTATATACAATTTTACACAAAGAATATCTTTCAGATCAAGAAATTGATCAATTTGAAATCGATACTCAAAATTGGATCTGCACGTTTTATCGTCCAACTCAAGGTCACATGAATAGTGGTACACAAATTCCTGATTTATATCGAAAAGATGATGTTACTCCATATATGCATGTTTTTGCAAAACATGTACCCCAATTTATGCGTCAATTAAAAGAAATTGGCCTTTCTTTACAAACTTTTTCTACTTCAAGTATAGAAAAAAAAAATCACAATCATGTATTAAAAAATTATAATTATTTTTTTTATTTGAAAAAATTTATGTTTATTACTAATATATATTCTTAATCTAGGTCTGTTTATTTTTTGGAGGTACTACTATGGGTGGGGGAACTGATGGAAAATCAGTAGTATACAATATAATGTCTTTTGAAAATCACCAATTATTTTACCTAATTAACAATACTCCTAAAAAGATTATCGCTAGAAACATTGATGTCAATAATAAGGAAAGCTAATTAATAATTATATTTTATTATTATTAAAAATCCATTACGTTTTTATTAATAATTGATGCGAAAGTGATGTATGAGGTTAAGTTATTAATAATAATAAATTTGATTACAAAAAACAATAATTTTATTACATTGAAATTGTTAAGAATTATTTGTATTTGATAAAGGGGGACGTGGTAAAATATATCTATATTGTGGTTTGGTAAAGGTTGTTGATTTATTATTTGATGAAAGTTTATTGTTAGATGCGTTATAAGGTGGATTGGAATATATTATATGTAAAATATGATCATCATTAGATGATGGCGGTTGAAGTGGTTGAAGTGGCGCTACATAATTTTCTTGACTAAAATTAATAAAATAAAGTTAACACAAAAATATCTTTTAATAACACAGAATTTTCATAAATCTTACTCATTTATGAATTCACCAGAGTCAGCAATAAAGTTAATTGTCAAAATTCCAGACAAAAAATGTCTTGTATTTTCTTTTAATTCTTTTTGTTTCCAATTAAATATTGCTTTATATTGACCATCATTATTCTCAAATAATATATACCCTCGAGTTGAAGTATTAATATTTTCACGAAATATTATTTGGTCATATTTAAATATTTTCTTCAATTGTTCCTCACCTACTGTTCCTTCAAAAATACATTGATATTTTCGCTGGCTTGGTATATATTTGAAATTATCTTCATTTTCAAATAAAGACACAAATACATCCTCTGGAAACGCGTCAATTGTTATATGTTTTTTTCTAACTGAATGTCTGTTAAATCCAAGACTATTTTTTAAACGAATTATTATTGCGTCTCGATAAAATGACATTGTTTCATTAGAAGGTTGATGAAGTATATGACGGTGTGAAATAAGTTTATTATTTTTATGTACATTTCGTTCATGATTTTGCAATTTTTTCCTTGTATTAAAAATTTTAGAACATAAAAAGCAAGGAAAATTACACTGTGTCATTTTAGAAGTTTCGCGTAGTTATTCAAAAAGAAATAATGTAAATAAATGTGATATTTAATAAATTAGTAAATGATCGGCAGTTGATCATTTTATAGATGACATAACCGAAGTGAGCCAAATCGGCCCATATGTAAAATTTATATTTAATTTACTATTTGATAATATATTATTTTCAATAATATTAATATTTTTTAATAAAAAAAATAGTTAATTTCAAATATAATTTGAATTTTAATATCATAAATACTATTTCTAAACTCTTTCAAATTAATTTTATCTTATTTATTAATTTCTTATTCAAAAATATACAAAATAAACTTTTACTTTTTTATTGAAAAATTTTTAATATAAATTATATTATATATTTAATTTTTTAATCTTAGTTTTTACAGCCTTCCAATATTTTTAGTATTTTTTTCTAATGAAATATATATAATCTCTTAATATTATAGATAAATAAAATAGTAAAATAATAAAAAAACTTATAAAATTTTCTAAAAAAAAAATTTTACTAATTATTATTTACTATATTTTACTATATATATACATATATATTTTTGTAAATATAATAATACAACTTTTTAATACTAACATATATAATATAAATTTAAATTAAAGTTAAATAAAAAAATATAAATTATTATATATTAATATTATAAATTATTTTTTATTTTATTGCAATTTTTGAATTACCGAAAACAGTTTGAATAGGAAAATAAAATAAAAAAAATGATTTTTTTCAAAAACTCACGAAAACAGTAAATTTTATTGCATTTTTAGATAGAGGAGGTGCGATTATAACCTGAAAATGTTAATTTTAGAGCAGAAAACTTAAATTTTCAGCAAGTTTGCATATAAGTGACTTTTGAGATTGTATGTAACCTAAAAAGTTCTCTATAAGTAAACTTACCTAAGAGTTAGATTTTTCATCCTAAAATTAAGATTTTCATGTTATAATCGCACCTTTTCCTTCCGAAAATACAATAAAATTTACTGTTTTTATGGGTTTTTGAAAAAAATCATTTTTTTTTATTTTATTTTCCTATTTAAACTATTTTCAGTAATTTGAAAATTGCGATAAATATATTTTAAAAATTATATATATAAAATTATAATTAATAATAATCTTTTAAAGAATAAAAAATAACAAAAAATATTTCAATATGAATACCAATATAATATTGTTATATTAATTGAAAAAATAATATATTTTTATAATAAAATAAAATTAATTTATTTTATGTTAAAATAACAATTTTAAAACTAGAATTTTTATTCTTTATAATATAATATTTCCTTTAAATATAAATTTAATAATTATTAAAATTTATTAGTAATTTTACTAGCAATTCTATTGATTAATTGATTGAAAAAGAAAAAAATCTGTAATATTTCCTTTTTTATATGTAATTTATTCACTAGTCAAAAACCAGGCAAACATGGCATAGTAGCCTTTATCTTTATTAAATTTATTCGAACTTTACAATTTACAAGAATAAAAAGAAAAATATAAAAATAAAACTAACTAAAAACAAAGCTATATAGTCTCCTAAGAAAAAATAAAGTAAAAAATTAATCTAAAAAAGAAAAATCGCATTACAATAAATTTCCCCAGATCTTCCCCCTTGATATATTCCAACCAAAGTAGAAGCAACTATGCTAACAAAATAACGAATAGCGCGCCCACTATAAAAATTGACACTCCATCCTGCAAAAGCTGTTATTAAGTAGCACCGTTAGA